AGGAATTGACAGAATATCAACTGATATGTTTCAACAAACAGATGCAGCGCTGGAAGCGCTCACTTGTCTATGCCAAGAAATTTGGAAGACAGCTACCCCTGGCCAACCGACTGGAAAAGATCCAATTTACGCCTATTCCCAAGAAAGGGGATCTAACCAAAGGCGGAAATTATCAAACAGTGTCATTAATAGCACATGCAAGTAAAATTTTGCTGAAGATCATTCAAAAGCAGCTGTAGCAGTATATTGAATATATATACTGAATATATTGAAATTCAGGCCGGATTCAGAAGAGGACGTGGAACCAAGGATATCATTGCTGATGTCAGATGGATCCTGGCTGAAAGCAGAGAATACCAGAAAGATAATTTACCTGTGTTTTATTGACTATGCAAAGACATTCGACTACGGGGATCATAACAAATTATGATTAACATTGCGAAGAATGAGAATTCCAGAAAACTTAATTGTGCCCATGAGGAACCTGTACATGTATCAACAGGCAGTCGTTCAAACAGAACAAGAGGATACTGCGTGGTTTAAAGTCAGGAAAGGTGTGCATCAGGGTTGTATCCTTTCACCATACCTATTCAATCTGTATGCTGAGCAAATACTCCAAGAAGATGGACTATATGAAGAAGAACCGGGCATCAGGATTGGTGGAAGACTCACTAACAACCTGCACTATGCAAATGACAAAACCTTGCTTGCTGAAAGTGAAAAGGACTTGAAGGACTTACTGATGAAGGTCAAAGACCACACAGCCTTCAGTGTGGATTACACCTCAACATAAAGAAAACAAAAATCCTCACAACTGGACCAATAAGCAACACCATGATAAGTGGAGAAAAGACTGAAGCTGTCAAGGATTTCATTTTACTTGGATCCACAATCAACACCCATGGAAGCAGCAGTCAAGAAATCAAAAGATGCATTGCATTGGGCAAATCTGTTGCAAAAGACCTCTTTAAAGTGTTGAAAAGTAAAGATGACACCTTGAAGGCTAAGGTGCGCCTGACCCAAGCCATGGTATTTTCAATCACATCATATGCATGTGAAAGCTGGACAGTGAATAAGGAAGACCGAGAAAGAACTGATGCCTCTGAATTGTGGTATTGGCGAAGAATATTGACTATACCATGGACTGCCAAAAGAATGAACAAATCTGTCTTGGAAGAAGTATAACTAGAATGCTCCTTAGCAGCAAGGATGGTGAGACTATGTCTTACATACTTTGGACATGTTGTCAGGAGGGATCAGTCC